TTTGGAAGAATAGTCTTGTGCCACCTACTTACTAACAACGCTAAAATCATTGTCGATGCCAATAAAGGCAAACAGTGTTTAAGGTCTTCAAGAGAGACGAATTGTTTTCGTGCAGAAGCAATTAAAAGCCGGAGCAAGAAATGCACCAAAAAATTGCCAAATGGAAGAAAATAATAAAGGACGCCAACCTGAATTAAGAACAGGATATCTGTGGGTTTTCACAAGGAGATTTTGTCCTCGGTACTATGCCTACTTGACTTGCCTTGTCTGAATTTTGCTGATAGCCTAAAGCCACAAAAAGAACAAATGCGGGACAGCATACCGGAGCTACAGGCTGACTTGGATAGGCCAAAAGATGATGGTGAAAAATATAAAAACTTTTATTTAGCAAACAAGAGAACCATTGTAACTAATATGATGAGTAAAATGTGATGACATTTGCCCCACAATTCTCACCATCAGTGACTCTGTTGCACGTGATTTGAGCACTTTCAACGTCCAGATCCCCATAATGCTGCGCTGAACAAAACAAAAGGTACTTTGTAATGTAAAATACGTCAAAAGCTGTGAAGGGGACACTGTGAAGGAACACAGTGCACGCAGTGTGAGATTTGTTGCAAGACTTTGGGCATATGGGTCTATTAAGTACTTTATAAACTAATGGCCCATACTTTAAATAACAATCTTGTACAACCGGTCACCGCATTAAGAAAGTAAAGCTTCGTGCACAATCTGAAATTGAATATCCCGAAAAACGATATACATGATGATAATATAATAATAATATGGTGGGCAAAAACTAAAAAATAATAAGAGACTGAGAAGTCAGATAAGCAGGAATTTTAAGGGACGGAAGCGGGCTTTGAAAAATATTTGCACCGACTAACCTCATTGAGCACTCGCCTAAAGTGTTGGAACTTTCTGCTGTAGCTCAAATGAAATTTACTTTGTAGACAAGATTTCAAATAAATGTTTGGCGAATTAAGTGATGTTTTATCCCACACAAGTTTGACTTTATTGCGCTTATGACCAACTCGAGTAAAGTTTATGTTTCCAGTAAATGCTTTCGCATGTAAGCTAGTAATAAAGTCAGCAGGGGTAATTGAGGCAAGCACATGTGTTGTGTTATCTACCTATATGCTGAGTTTTTTCCTTTGGAGAAGTACACATTCTTCTGCTTCCAGAAAAACAGAAGTTGTTTTTTACAAGTATTATCAATTTGCCACCATTGATCTTGAAAAAATGAAGCGCGTAGTCAAATTATCTTAGTCTAGTTTACTACTTGGGTATAAGTAATAGTAGCACGCTTTGTGATGACTATACTTGGCAGTAGAACGACGTCCATTTTGCAACTATTTGAGCTGCCTGGGAAGCATAAAGCCGATGACCAGTGTGTTTGGACAGCCGGTTGGCATCAGAATAAAAAAACATTGGCACCAGCCACAGGCTTGATAGGATTTATCAGGTCCGTCATGAAATCTTTTGGGTTTAATATGCTGTCTCAAATGAATTGGCAGTAATTAGGTCGAAAGCTGCCTGAGGAATAAGCAGGTGGCGTGAGTTGGCCGAGGCTCATTGAAAATCTTTGCTGAAGTTGCAGGTGCAATGCCTCAGCGTAAGAGGATCCAAAGTTATTTAAGACGGAAGCAATGGGGACGACGGTGACATCCGAGCTTTTTATAGTTGTAGGTGATTAGTTTTTACGTCCCCGAAAGTTAGATGCAACACATATAGGAGTTGGAAGGAGGTTGTGGGGCCATTATGTAATATTTTAAAAGCAACCAAACGGGTGCCTTGCAAATATAAAAAACATTTCGATAACCGTTATCGCAAGTACGTTTCTAGAATCCACGCACTGTTTTTAATCGAGTTTGCGTTGGTTTTAACAATAACTTATCAAGCTTTATCCAGAAATTTTAGATTCTAATGCCTCATCCAACTTGCGGTAGAGGTACTACGCAATTGTGGTGCTGATTGAGTTTATAAGAATGGTCTAAAAGTCAAGCGTAGCAGAATAAATTAGCGCTTCGGTGATGCTAGAAGATTTTTGGGCTCTGCTTATATAATTCAGCGTGTGCTTGGTGACTTTTCCTAGATTTATGCCCCAGTCACTATGTAAGGAGAGTTTGGATTCGAGGTGTTAGAACAAAGGCTGTTTAAAGTTAGTCTGAAAAATGGATCGATCTTAAGGGGAACGGACAGCTCTACCATGCTTCATATAGTCGACAAACATTCAAAACGTATGGTTCAGAGATTACAAAAAATTCATCAATAAATAACAATAGTATGCACAGTATGGCACGCCAGAGTAATTGCTGTGGGATAAATATGGGTTAAAAATTGATCCATTTGATGCAAACGTCGGTTGTATGTGGGGCATCCCAGTCTACTACATCTGGTTAGTTTGTATCACAGAGCAGGGTGCTTGGTGCCTACAGAGACCCAAAAAAGTCTAAGATACTATGTATAGCCTAAAGTGCGCTTTAATGTCCGTAGCTAGATCGTTTTGCGTGGAAAATACGTCAGTATGCCGGTATTTGTTTTTTGACCTTAAAGTGCGTCTACGGAGAGTGTTTGAGCGTATATTTGCTGAACTTTATCATCTGTTGCTTTTTAAGCATGAAAACGACATCATTCTACTGCATCGCATATTAGGTCTTTGTGAAAGCACAAAACCACTTTGCCCCTTCATGTCTGTTGATCCCGCAGAATGGGCGGCAATTTTGTAGGCCTTACCAAGGTCCAAGATGCCTAAGGTCAGCCAAGCTTAGGCTGGAAAAACTGGAGCTCAAGGGCTACAATAATTTTGCTTCAGCGTTACTCTGTGCACTTTGAATGTGTGTACTGGCTTTCTAGAAACCAAGAAGCAAGAAATCTTGTAAATCTTGAACTGTCAGTAGGACTAACTTTTACTGGTACAGAAACTGACCTTTTTGGGTTCTGGCAAGTCGTTATATTTGGTGGCTCATTGTATGGCCTGTTAACTAGTTGGATGCTGTCGGGTGGATGGTGGAAAATTTTATAATAGATAAAGGTTTTATTTAGTGTGAAGTGGAATTTAATGACCATATGGTAAATTGGCCACGGTGGCAGTCACACAGGTTCACATGATAGTACACTTAAGATTATCCTGTCTACTACCGGTATCTTGAATTATGAGACCATGGTTGCGTTTTTTATCCATAAAAATCTGCCAACACTTCAGCAGTTTGATCCTATGATCGGGTCGGCATGTTCAAAAGGTTGTATAAAAATTAAATTTTAATCAAGCCCGACTTATTCTCCTCCCCTCCAAGCAGGTATTTGATTCTGAAAATGCAGCGATGGATCTTTTAAAGCAGTCTTTGGAGTTCAACTTATTTTAAAGAGCATGATGTACGTATTTAGGATAAAGTAAATGGTGTGACTGTTGAAGCATTCAGAGTTAGTTTTTGGGTGGCAGCTTTGTCCACTAATCATCCACCTGAAAACTTTGCTCACTCAGTGACAAGGACGAAGGATCAGGATTTTAGAGACATCCTGGTTGCTTGCCATGGCTGTTCTCTGAAAAGCCACAGTGTGCCGTAGGTGCTAAATTGCAATAGAAGTCCCCCAATCCCTGAAAAACATCTATTTTTAACAGGCGCTGGGTAGTCTCCTTCCAAATGTTTAGGTAGCGAGCTCGGGGGCACTTGTGAATGGCTCAGATGGCTGTTCTTTAAATGCTGTCATTTCAGTCCCCCTCTTACAGAAGTTACAGTTGCGTAATTGTTATCTAGCCTGTCGGTCTTTTTGCTGCATTTTGTCCTCCGTGTTTACTTGGGTAGTGGAAAGTCGTTGTCGTAAATTAAGATTAAGCCGTAAACAAAGAGGTGAGGTTTCTTAAACTAATTAGTCCTAATGTCTTCGGATTTTTTTTGCATCCATAGTTAACTCACTTTTGAGCACACTCAATGGGTATGTTTATTTACCAAATAAACTTCCAGGAATTCTGTGAGTAAATGCTTGTTTGCATATCAAGCGGGTGCTTACGAGAGTCTCAGTTTACAAAAGATGTCAACTCAATCTGGCTCCACAAGGGCAGTTTTGTGCCCCAGTAGAAACAATATGCATAATATCCGGTTGTAGTACCTGTTGGGATGTTGTTTATAATTTTACTGACAAAGTCTAATATCCGTATGATTACTCGTGTGTTTCTAGAAATTCACGGGAGTTTGGCCTCGACTGCTTGACGTAAGAATATTGAGAACTTTTCACTAAATCCCCCCTTTTCTTTTTTTGCTTGGATCACCTTCCTATGTTCACACTGCAAGCAAGCACAACCTCTTGATAGTATTGGCATACTGCCTTCGATGACAACGGCGGTCACAGCAGTGTTGATGATGATCATGAACTAAAAGAGCTAGTGGTCTCACCAAAGTTCAGGCGAGTGGTCATTTGAAGGTACATATTTGTGAACTACGACTATTGAGGTCGCCCATGCCTCTCCTGATAACAACTCTTGAGGTATTCTTGTGCCTTATAGACCAGTTAGCCTCCTGTTTAGCTCATTTTTGAGTAAGTTTTCATGGCCGTGACAATTTTTCCATCCAAGTGGTTAATATGCTGTCAAGCTATCCGAGGTTTGACAAGAAGGATCACAGCGATAGGCTTTGAAGTCTCCACAAGGACCTCTGGAGAAGGAAGTTCGTGGATCAAGTAGTGAGCTAGCCCAAAGTCAGCCCGATAGCTAGAATGCGTGGAAAGGTCTAAATTCTCACTTCACAAAACGCTATCTGTTTAATAATATCCCACTCAAGTCATCATCACTATGATCATGGACAGTGAGACATCAGTGTTTGGCAGTGATGCTTCACCATCGATAAACTCTACCGTATATCAGCCCTGAGGGTGCGTTTCATACTTTGGGAAGAAAGCAATCTAATCTTTTCTTGAATCATACAGGGAAAATGATACTTTCTCTTTAAAGTTGCAGGCCCAACCGACACCTTGAGAACGACAAAAAGTTCAAAAGCCCCAAAATGAACGTCGAAAAAAGAGAATCTTTGTGTTCATCATATAGCTTTGCAATGACAGCAAAAAATAACTTGCTGTCAGAATTTACCATGGAAAATGAAGTTATAGAACAAAGAATAAAGGCAACTCGGTAAAATTACTATTGCGTTTTCTGTGAAACTGCTCTCAGAAAGAAGTTGGATGACTGTCTGCAAGAGAACGCCATTTACGAGCTGTTTTGTGAGCAAATACATGGCGAACCATTGGAACGTGGGTTCATTCATTGAGTACTTTTCTTAGTACCCAGTTCAGATTGTTCAGTTCGACCGTCTTTGGGGCGAATTCATAAATCTGTCAAGACTAAAGGTCGTTTCATCACTTTGAACATGGAACAAAAGTGTGTTGTGGCCAAGTATGCATTGGAAGAACGTACCAAAGATTTGAACCTTCTCAGAAAGGAGCATGAATCCGTAGCTGAGCAGTATGAGGTAAGTGTCACTCATACCGGTTATCTAACAATGTGAAGGTCCTGTTAAAAGCTCAGCTAGAAAGAAAAATAGAATGCGCCAAAACGCGTTCGTCATTTGATCTGCTTGTCGTGCAGCGAACAGAATGTCTCCCAGGGATGCCATTGGAGCTTACTGGAATGAACAAATTCTGTCGTTTTCACAAGTTTTATTTGAACCGCTTGGTAATTACAGATTTTTACATTTTGTTCCGATTTCGGTTTGTCCATGAAAACTACTGTTTTTTCTGTTCCTCTAAGTTGGTGTTTCGAGTTGCAGTTCAAATGGTTTGAAGTTTCGCATGTATTCATGTATATCATGAATCAGGTACACGGTAATTTCAATGAATTTGGCAAAAGATGACTCTAGTAAATTAGGATCATGTGAGGTCTTTCAGCGACCCGAGTTTTTTCATAAACGACAGACAATGATCGGGCATACATAATACATTACCAAACCAGTGCAGCAAGACTCATACGCACTAGTGGAGTTAAAATACAGCTATAAATCCACTGGAGATGGGGTTGGTGGTTTGCATGTGAAGTCCTAATGCACGACAAATTTGAGGATTCCTCGATGGCTAAGTTGGTACAGCATTCATAAAGTGAGTAGAAAGTTGTTGGTCTAAGTTCATCCCAGTTGTAACTTTTCTCGTATGCGTACCTGGACAACTCTCTTCAAGATCCGCCGACGTTTTGACTGCTTTTTATCAGCTTTCATGAAAGTATCTCGGTTGATTGGATGCTACTAACTACTATTATAATTTATTTTTGAAGAGCATGGTCACAAACATAAAAAGTGAATGCAAGCGATGAATGCGAAAGAGTAACAGGAGAATATGGGAGAAAAGAGAGAAACGTCTCATTCGAGATCATGCCAAGGGCAGTGCCAGTCTGATGAGGTGGATCCCAAAGTATGTAAAGATTTTGGTATGGGAACACGCGTCTAAGGACCAACAACCAAAGAAAGGACAAACAATGGTGAATGCTCTTCAAGGCGCAGTGTGCGCTAGCACAGTCAAGACTCGCACATCAGGCACAAAGTGACCGTCATACTGGGTCTGGTGTGAGATTAAATCGTAAAAATGTACCTTCAACGCCATGTGCCACGCATAAAAGTGTCATAAGTACAGTGCATTTATGTGTCAAATATATCAGCTCTCGCTTCCAATAGGCAACTACCTACCCCACCACTCAAAACAATCGAGGAACGATGCATCAGAAAGTATAAACACCGTACGCAAAAGCTCCTGCTGTTTCTGATAATGATGATGATGATGACGATGATGACGACGATGATGATGATGATGATTATGACAGATCCACAAAGACTAGAATACAACTTTTCCTTTTATTCCGTAGGATACGCAGTTGTCAAACATGCGAATTGAAAGTGTCAATTCGAGGAACGAAATTCGTCGAATGAAAAAGTCCCTGAGGGAGCTTGAAGAACCCGGTCGGGTGATTCACTCGGTCGAACATGAACAGTTAAAAATCCACTGTCGCAATGCGTTGCGGGAAATACAGCGTCTTGAAATGATGTGTGCTCATGTCAAGGCATGTGCAACTCGGATTGGATCACAACTTGCTTCTTTACGAGTGAGTGAACAGAGTACCACACACGCATTTGCACCGGTTTGTAATTGGAGTTTCGCTTGCTATCAATAGTGCCTCGGTAGTGCTGACGTACAGAAAAGATGGTATCATTGAGTATCTAATCGCCTAATGACCATGGCGCCTAAAAAACCGCCATTAGCTTAGAGTGCTTCACGGCCTAATTCAGAAGTAAGTCTGAGGAAGTACTGTCTCCTTGGAGGGTAAATCTTCATCAGATATTAAAACAGAAATATGTAGTAGCGTTTTCACAAAGAAAGGGGTCCCTCGGGGCGAAAAGTGATAGACTCATGGTCCGTTCACAAGGAAGTAGAGCAAGATGTTCTACTGTCTCCCACAAGATAATGTGCTACCAGACGGATTCACAAATTTGGACTATATGCCCGAATCGGAGTAGCTGTGTAATATTGTCGCACAAGAATTAAGTGGCGCCGAATAAAAGACCTTCATACAACCCATCAAACGCATCAAAATGCGCGTAGGCGGATGTCTGTTGTGGTTCAAGTGTATTTTGATATCTTTTACTGGAAATTGTCTTCTGTAAGTGAAGTGAATCCGTAGAAAAAGGTCTAAGAGCACCGTCCAGCTATTTCATCATCGTTACTAGGACTTAATAACAGTGCGCGCGGGCTGCTAGCGGCCATATTATGTAGCGCTTCAATACTCAGCAGACCTACTCAAGAGTTTCATGCAATACGTACTGATGATTTGACGATTCTTAACAAGGACTATAAAGCTGCACATCAGTATTTCCATCATCATCATCATCATCATCATCATCATCATCATCATCATCATCATCATCATCATCATCATCATCATCATCATCATCATCATCATCTTTATCACCCACAAGGAATAAAATTCTGAAATCTCCTCGTACCACGAACAGACTATTTGTATAAAGGCACGAAGGAGTACAAAAAGATAACGTGGCCTTGTATAGACGTAATGCACTACTCACAAGGTGACTGAAAACTCATTGACAGACCGTATCGTAACTAGTGCCCGTCGGGTGTCACTGATATGTCTGTGCAAGGTGATACTTTCAAGTTAGGGTACAGCAGATTCCGAGGGTCAGTTTAGCCAATTTCGTGAGCTGAAAATAGAAACGTCAAGGCAGCATACATAGTGTGCTCACAAACTAGAAGAATCCTGTCTATTTGAGGGGCGAATTGTTGAAGGAGTAGCGACCTGGGAAACTATTGGCATTGTTGGTTGAGTTAGAAGTTGTAACTTTTGACAGTATTAGTATAAACAATTTCGTTAATTACACTTTGCTTGACGCCAGAAAGCAGCTGAACTCGGAATCTCCCACCAAGTTCTACCGTCTTTGTCATTGCTGAGAAATACCACCAGTAGTGGAAGCTACATAATCTGTTGTTGAATGCTTGTATGAGTCCGACGAATACAAGTCTGTTTCCGTTTGTGCTCAATTTCCAAGAGCTCTTTTCTGGACATGTTGAGGGAATACAGGAAAGAATCTGGGTAGTCATAAGGGACTATTCGTAAGGTCGCTGAAAGCTCTTCAACACGCCAGAACCGTTCCGCCCTTTTTTGGCTCATCAGATAGACGCACTCCCTGGAATCCGGATTCTGTGCAGATTGTGTTATTCATTTTGACCACGCTGAGAACAGACCACTAGTTTATGTTCGTATTTACACCAATCTCGTTTGAAAAGTCGTCCTCCCGTCATGGTGTAATTTTCCTGGTGAGTCCACACCAAATGGAAGCACTGGACGCGAGTTTCGCTCTTATTAGAGCTCATCAGCAGTTCATATCCAATAGGCGTGCCGGCGTCCGAACTCTGGACGTCTGACATGCGATGCAACGTTGGATGCATCTGAATTTTCACGTCTGATCAGGCGAATGTGTTCACGCTTGAGTGTTATGACCGATGTGCCCGACTCGCCATAGAACGACGACCCAGCAACTGTCCTGGCTGTGACGATCGATTGACCCGTCTGTCAGGACTTCCTGGTCAGATAGCGCCCCAGACGGTTGAAACCTGCAGGGGGTTACGGGATATGTATTGTTGTGAATATTGTATTGTGGTGATGAACACTACATATCCCGCAAACCCTACAACAGACTAGTCTATAGTTAGTGATGATCAGCGGGTCATCACTCGTACATTACTCCGAAAGGAGGTATAAATTAAACAGCTAGGTTAATCAGTTCAGAGGATATCGTGTACAGGAACCGCATACCTAATTAAGTCCCGTTTTTTGTACCAGTTTACCCGTATTTTTAGGATCACCAAAAGTAGTCCAAGTTGAAGGTTGAAGGGGATCCGTGAAAGATATAGCTTCAAATGAATAGCAGAGCCTCTGATTAGCTTTACCCACAAACGTATCGATCGCACCAGACTTACTTCAGAGCAGTCGAAGTTGTCTAGCAACTCCTATTGTCTGAAGAAAAAATCTGATGTACTAGGTCTATGGTTTTACAATACTTTAACTAACAACAATCGTTTCAAATTTTTCACAATGCCAGCTGCAACTGAAGCAAGAAATGGCAAAAAATGAGGAATTAGAGGAAGAAACTGATCGTATATTTCGCATGGGTACGAAACTGAATTTTCTGGTGAGCAAAAACGAGGAAGTGAGTGCTCTCTGTAAGAATAATTTCTATGCCAAACTTAGCCACCAGCGTTTTCTCTCGGTGCGCACAGGTAAGAGTAGAAACGCTTGTGCAGTCGCATAGATGAAGGTTGCATGCCTGGTATATTTTTTATGTAAATTTGATCTTTTTTATTGCAGTCACTTATAATAACAATACAATGAAGCTGGGTTTCTAAACAGCTCTACGATATGCCCTTTCATAGTCCACCCAATTATTCACGTCCGCTATTTTCATCAGCTGTCGAGGAGATCTCATGATTATATCACTTTTTCGTGATAACAGCTTGCCAAAGCAAAGTTATTTCCATTAATTGCTTCATTTAGACCACCACTTATTACCTCACATTGGTTTCAGCTCCGATTGACGGCTGCAAATGATGGCCACCAACTACAACTTGCTCAGGAGGCCCACGGGCCGAAACGGGGGTTGCATTAGATTGCAAACCTATCCAGGTTAATAGTTGCATTCTTTCTGATCGCAGACTTTGGTGCTTACAGCGGGTCAAACGTTGCAGGTGCACGTGTGCAGCAGGATAAACGCCAAGTGAAGTCATCGAGGTAGCCTTTGGTGGTAGTGTGGAGAAATTCTTGAAAGCTCAATGGTGATTTCTTTACGTGAGTGAAGAAGCCAATCTTTGGGTGGAAGCCGGGAGGCACTTGAGAGCCTTTTTTCATTAATGGGATGCATTTCATCAAAAACAACAAGCTCATCTTGACTTGGTTCGACTTGTCCAGGTGGCAGTTCAGACTTGAATAAGCATATTGTGTTACTCGCTGGAGCAGAACGCCAGAAAAGGACAAAACACCGCATGGTACTTCATGAAACCTCTTGGAGCTTCGTGAGATGCGCACGCGTGACCAGGTGATGAGTCCTGTGATTAAAGGGTAGGGGGGTCACGTTCCGTTTAAGTGCGAGTTAATCACACCGCTTTTCAGCCGCTCGTGGCCGAAAAGTTTAGTGCTCAAACGGCTAGCCGGAAGGTTCCAGACTCCCTGGAGTTTCTTGTCACGTGCACTACTGATTATTCCCGACGATGTACAATGCTCCCCAGGTTTTCAGCATAGACTGTCATCACTCACAGGACGAAACCTCAATTGAAATTATTTTACCCCAAAAAGCTGGAGTTGTGCATCCATAAAGCTGAATTGATCCACAAAAGAATAAGTAATATTATTATTTTAGCTGTAATTTTATTCTGATGCTTAGCTGTCATGCCATCCGAAGGAAGTATGAGGACTGAGGTACTGTCAGTCAAATGAAGCCTAGACAGTAGCAGTCGAGTGCTGAGGTTGAGTTCGAACCAAGGACCTTCTGGCCATTAAGTTCGCAGCCTAATTACTGAGCTTTCTCCATCCACAATAGAGACCAGAGATTTAAAGTAACACATTCTCGGGAGCACGTAATCAGAGCAGTTTTGCAACTATTCTATTCGGCTGTGGAAGCTTGCTTACAACTGGCATGGAGACGTTAATCGAAAAATCAATTGGTTCTGACCATAATCACAGTAGAGGTGGCTAACATACAAGCCACAATAGTCAAAGAAAAGATGACAGAATGGGTAATAAACCAACAATCAAACTTCATTATCATCATTATCGGCTTTGAGGACCTCGTACTCGCCGTACAGTGGTTATAGTTGCCACAGTTTCGTTCACCGGTGGTTTGGGAAGGTGGAGTAGGTAGCTGAGCATTGGAGACGGGGGCTGATAAATTGATGCATAAATGCAGGTCTGTCAGTGGAGTTTTAAGTGGAGGGATTTGGAAGGAAGCTACACATTGAAGGTAATAGATTGAATGCACGAACGCTACTGAAGGCGAGACTGGGCCATATCTGACAGTGTCTGTAACTATTAATGTGGCCCGTCTCGGGGTTCCCATCCAGGAAGACGGCAGTGACCAGCGCAGCTGAGTTTTCTCGCAATGGTTTTATACTTCGCTGACAAGTCATTATTTGATCTCCCCTGGCTCGTTTCCGTCCTTCACGTGATTGTGCAAAAAAACCCTACGACTGGCATACAGAGCACGTGGCCAAGCCAGCGCAACCTGTGGAGAGTGATCAGTTCACCTATCGTGGGCGAGTCATTTCTTCCGAAAGCTATTTGACGAACACTGATAGACCAGCTCTTGCCCACCTTCCTAAGGCCAAGGCAATCGAATTGGTACGCTTGATTCAGCTTCTACATGTGCAGCTCGTGTTCCAAAACTCCAGTCGCAATGGCCCAGATTGCTGAGAAAATCCGTCCTTTAAGGTTATTTCCGCATTCAGAATAAACCAGCTCAGCTGCGCTTGAACAGGTTTCCAACATACACTCATTTGTAAAGTAATTTGGTTTTTCGAGAGGCTTACCTGGAACCCAGCTGAATCTCTCGTTTGTGATGTTCTCAGACAACTGAACGTGCTGCACCAGGCCGCCTCATGTTTCAGTCGCTACGATATTCGAGATATCGCGATACATGTATATCTTTGTAATGTACTACTCATAAGGTTGCTGAAAATCCGTCGATGATGATGAGCCCCAAAAAGGGTGAAACCGGTCGAGGGCTGTCGGCGGATTTTCAGGAACCTTATGAGAAGTAAATTACGAAGGTTTCCAACAGTTTATAATTTGTCGGCTTGAAGGAACTGACTTCACTCACATCTCACTTCGTCAGTAATTATCTTGAAACTATTAGGCACGGGGATTAGCTAACCTTGGTGGTGGATGATTATTCTCGTGTATTTTCTCAAGTAGATGTGGCGGGTAACTGCACGCAATGGCAAACAGAATTCCGGAATCGGGAACTGAAAATGGCGCCCTGTAGAAACTCGGCTGAGAAAGTTTGCTGTAGTCTTTGCTTGGGTGTGCTTTCACTAGAAATGCTTCTTGGAGACTGTTGTATACCATAAACATGTGATTATTGCTCATTGCACTTCTCAAAGCTGTTTTATTTGGACACGATGGATTCCTTGAAGTTGTGGAAGTGCATTCGTCCTAAAAAAGCGTCTGTGATTAATGTGGAGGTAAAAATCCCTAAACCAAATCCAGAAAATTAGATGCATTTCCTACCGGGTTGTCCGAGCACTTTTGTGGCTATACAACGTTAAAATTACTGTTACATTGCTCTTAGTGGGGTTGTATACGTTTGCTTTGTCTCGGCGTTTTTGGACGACCGTGCCAGATTGCACTACCAGGTACCGCAAACAGATAAGCCAGGATTGTGTCACGTGTTGCACATACTCGGTCAATAGATGAACCAATGGGCTAATAATTTATAAATAATCGATCAATTGGATCGATCGGTAGAGCAGCTAACTCCATGCATCCCGGGCTGGACATGTCCCAACAGACAAGCACACCGGCCATATAACCACCAAAAAATTACTGCTACAATTAGTCGGTAGAGCGAAAAAGCTGATGAATCTCAAGGACGCATTCACAATCATCTTTGCGATCATAACAGCGTTAGGAAGATTGTAGCTCCTGAGTATACTTCCCCCCAGTTACCGCCTGACAGCCACATTAAAATTTCATCTGTGCTCTCGATTTGACTACTGACCAAGTAGGTAGATATTAATGGATAGAAAGTTCGGGAAATCGAAAGTTCTAAAGTTCACCTAGAAATTGTTGTTCTAGTTTTCAAACGAGTAAGCTCGAATGCACCAAAAAAGCCCTACCGGAAGTATATCAGACAAACAGCTCTACCAAAGAAGAATGCCGTTATTTTCTTCTGTATAAAATTTGGACAAGGTTTAACGCTTCTTCTCTTCATAATGAACTGACAAAAAACATCACTGGTCGTATTAAGAGACTGAATATAATCTGAAAGGTACTCCGCTTGGGTCATTCTGAGAGGAAACCACGTTTCTTGAGCAAAATGCACAGCCACAAGTAAGTGCTGTGTTCCTCAAGCGTTCGTTACAGGAACTCTTGTTGAAAAGTACAAAACTCAGTTATTTCAACTGGGAAGCACACCTACATCTCCTTTTCTGATCGGAGCTCATGTAAAGCTAAAGAGCTACCAGTCGCGCAAAACTTTGGTTTGTTTAAACTGCCCCTTGTGTTCGCGTACAAAGTGACTTGGTTGGATGAAATGTAAAACCGAATGGTTGGGGGGGGGGTTTCATAGTTTTTTTGGCTGAAGGTTCTGCTCGTTAGATTACTGAATGTCTTAAAAGCGCCCATCCGGGTTTGTGTCTTGAACCTCGTCAGATAGGTGCGGACTTCTAGCTGCCGTCCACCTTGTGTTTCATTTGAACGCCGAGTTGTGCGCAACTGATGAAATACTCTGATTAGCGAACTATATTCTTATATATATATATATATATATATATTTATGTAAAAATAATTCGTGCAACGTGTAACTGTCTGAACCCTTTAGGTGAGCGATTCTCTTGCGTTTATTTGTGAGTCTAAATAGCGATCAACTATCCCTTTAGAACATGATCCAGTCACATCATTCTTACGTAATCTACCGGACTCATTTCCCAGAATGATTGACAGTGGTTCAGCTAACTTATTTGCGTAAAACTTTTCAGGGGTTACAAGATGATATGTTCGATCACTATCGGTTGAAAAAATACCTGGTCACGTACAGAGTCCCAACCACCAGTCAATACGCTCATACTTTAGCCGAGATGGCGTGGCTAACACGGGAACGACTGGTGATGAAACGGAAAGAACGTATCGCTGCCGTAGGTTCTTCAGCATTTTATTGTCTTACCTTATTAAAATCTTTTTTCCGGAAATTTTGCTTTTATTGTCCATATAGTTAGCAAATATCCACACATTCAAAATCCCGATAATCTGTGGACTTTGTCACGTGGACTGCGTTTTGCCTCTCTTTTTTGTGACCAGAATAGAATGCAGTGTACGCGTTCCTTTGCTGAACCGTAGACTTACAGAGCAGTTGAAATTTCGACTGTGTTTAGGTGTTCCAAACACCTTCTTGAGTCTGCACCAGAGATTTTGCTACATCTTAAGTGATGTCCCGTGTGTATGATAATATCACCTCTGCCCCTTGCATCTAGATGATCCTGTGTCATCGCGCTACAGTGCAAAAATGACGATCATCAGCATGCTTTCTCATTACCTTGTGTGCTACAACGACGAACTCTGGAAAGCCGGCAAACATTGATAATATATCTTTATTGTCCTTATCTATCGCATATAACAAGCCACTTGCCTGTGACATGTCCCAATGTATCAACCGCCTGCCGGTCGGCTAAATCGATGAAACCGACTGAAGCGATTGTTAAGCAAACGACTGCTACTGATGGGTCGGATAAGTAGCCTATAACTTCTGTACAATAAAACTCTTCAGGAGGACTACGTGTCCAGTCATATAAGGTAGATATTACAAGTAATGAGTCCAGCATGGTCCAAAAGCCGCTACGAACTAATCAAATGCGTTTCACTTCATAACAGCGTAAATTCTTGTCTACTCATCTGGAACAATAATATCTACAATTCTCGCAAACTTATTGCAGTCTATCTACATAATATCGATACAAAAGCGCATACAGAGTAGGATGGGACACACCGGGCCACGTGGCCGTCCGAAAAACATCAGGAGAGTTTGAAAACCGACGAAATAAAAGAGGTTGGACACGAAGGGAATTTCCCTTATTTCAATCCAAACTTTCAAATACGGTAAAGATCGTATTTCCCATGACTATGTAAATCGATATAATTTATCAGCAGTTGAGTGTAAGTGCTTAAAATGCCCTCATATGATTAGTCTTGTTTAGCTATACGGTCAACTTACGTAGCTGCGCGGTGTTTATGGGAACGACAGAGGGATTTAAACTTTAGGTCGATAGACGATCAAGGTAGTTTTGGTATTTCTTTTTCAAGAGTGGGTCACCCAGTTAATTAGTCAGAGAACTAACTTTCCTCAGTAACCAGTGATAGGTTTCCTGAAGGTAGGGGCGCAGCGAAAGAAATCTTCTTCTCAACCAGAGCGTTTTCTGTTTTTGAGGGTTCTTCATGCGCGCACAAAGTCGGACCTCTCGGAGAAGAAAACCTTTGAAAGCAGAAGAAATTATGTAGAAGAAATTATTCTAAGTTAATCTCGGAAGCAAAATATTTGGCTGTCTTCATCTAGTTGCAGAGTTAGTGGAAAACTGTTTTATTTGCTTCTCGGGTATCCTACGTACGATGTCATAATATTGTGGAGCATATACGAATTAAGTCATGTTCCCGATAATCTTAGATATTCCTAGGTCTCTGCTCGCAGTTGGTAACTGAAGTAGCTAGCGTTGGCTCTCCATAGTGCTCAAAATGATGCCTGTCGGGAGCAAGTGGACGCTGACGGCCATCTTAAAGTTGCCCATTGGGAGTCTGGACCGAGGGGGTTGTAACGGTAATCCAATAACTTGTGGATTACGACAAACTGGAAGGAAGTTCACCGCCCCTCCTCTTTGAAGTGGCTCCCTCTCAGGATCGCCTCTACGGTTCGCTCACAACCAATCAACCAACCAGTTACTAGAAAATGAACCCAATGAGTCTGTACAAAGCTCCCCGTGGAAATTCGTCATCCAACAAGCAGCACGGGCTACCATGTGATGTTTTCTCGCCCCCCCCCCCCCCCGCTGCCAGAACGTAGAATTCATAGAAGTCCCAGGGCATGCACAGAAAGTAGCTAAAATGCATGCGGTCTCTGCCGCTTGGGCTGTATGCATGTGGAAAGACTTCATGCGACCCAGCTACTCAGAAATACTCACGGCACCTGAAAATTAACATTACTACCAAGCTACTAGATGGATGTTTGCGGAATATTGTCTGAAGGCAAGACGGGGTCGAAATTCTGCGGAAGCCGAACACACCAGGTCACCAATAGGAATCTCCGGTGGGACTTAGTCGCTCAGTAGATAGTAAGCATGAATTTTCATTTGGCATATAATCAACCACTTTTGTCAGGGAATCACAGTAACTGAGATTGGTACTCCGATACCTCTCCCGTGGTCTTCGTGTCAACCCGTCATATATGGTGTTGTGCCAATTTCCTCCAAAATGTTTGAGTGGTCGATAAAGTAGTGAATAGAAGTTAGGAGGTGAGATGGCCGAAGTGGTTAGAGCCGCGCTCTGTAGTTCGAATCCGACGTCTGCCTCTTGACTCCCCCTGTCTAGACTTGGGCAACTAGGCAGTATCCCAGCCCTCGTGCTTCCTTCGGGTGGCATGGCAGCTAGGCACCGGAAGGGTGCAACAGCTGAGCGATACGATACGATACGAATAGGAGTTAACATGCTAAGTGTCTGTCGTATCCCAGGTACTCAAAATAGTCCAACAATTGTAGAACTGACTTTTGCCTCGTGTGACACTGAAGCTGGATGACGATTCTGTTACCCACATATTTAAAACAACATGGCAGTGTTCCACAAAGTCTTTCCAGCGGAGCTAAACAATTTTTGTTCTTTACTTTGAGATAAGGACATATCATCCTCGTCCTGCGGTGATTGTGGAAAGACCTACATTATTCGGCTTGAGTACCAGTCACACACACCAAATTGTGCATCGGGTGACTGGGCTCGCGGAACTTGCAAGTACTGAGTAGAAAAACCACCGACAACCTCTCGGCTGATGTAACACATCTCGCCTCATGATTAGGCATATTATGCACCATGGAACTACCACCGTGCATGAAAATCTCATTAAACAAGTTAAAATGAAAGTGGACAGTTGGGTCGAAATTCGATTTTAAAACCATGGCTTTAAACAGTTAATTTCGATTTCGTTCAGCTGTAGCACCCTTTCGGTGCCTAGCTGCCGTGCCACACGAAGGAGGCACGAGGGCTGGGATACTGTCAGGTCGCTCAAGCCTAGACAGGGAAGTCAAGAGGCAGAGGTCGGGTTCGGACCTTTCGGTCAGTAAATTCGTGCTCTAACCACTTGATCCAACTCGTCCAAAGCTAAACAGAAACCCCATTGTAATTCTGAACCGTGGTCACTTTTATGACAAACATTTGACCACTATGGGGCTGTGTGACTAAAATGATCACTTACTGTCCCCTTTTTAGTTTTGGTGTGGTAGTGGTCGAATTTGCGTGACGGTGACATGGAAAATAGGGAGGCAGGTCCCCATTTTGGACCCCTAATAGATGCCCTTTTAAGCCTTTGCAAAATTATCACTTCGCTGTCACGTGCCTTTTTAATCCTTTTTGTAGTTAACTCTACAGCGATACAAGAAGCTGTGGCATCATATACAGACTAGATGAGCAAAACGTTGACCAATACACTCGATCGCATATGAATTAACGAAGTTGACGAATATCTGCGATCGAGTTCCAAATACGAATTAACGCCCGGTTTCTCTGTACGACTTCCGGGATTTGAATTCAACTCTCTTCATTCGGTGGTGTAAGGCGGAAGGTTGTTTCAAGGCGATAAGTTCATTGACAGTGCTGAATCATCCCTCACTTTGGCCGGGAAAGTTGACCTCAGCCTAGCTGTGAATTTGGAACACAACGAATTGTTTTTAAGAACACAAATCCCATCGAACACGGAACCAACCCCAACTGTGTTGGACGGGTTGTAATAATTTTAATTTTTGTCCCTATTTGTTTTTAATTGAGGGCGCGTGTACTCAAAAATGTGTACACATGGGAGCCTTTACTTGGCTAATAAACTTATTCTTTCTCAAAAAGCGTTTTTTGGGCCGTCGTTCATTCTCAATTCGGCATAACCGTCCTACTATGTGACTGTTTACGTATTTGTCCCACCTTGGTAGACATTTGATGCGACACTCAACGGACGAGTCGCCTCACTTTTTGTAGGGCGATTGCCTTCTCATGTCACCATCTGCATGGTCTATCCTTCGCAAGTGTTTACTAGGCATAAATACCTCAGTAGAATTTATGGGTTACCGCTGCGACAAAGCCCATAGCGTTCAGTCCTTTGGACTTATCATTTTCGACATAATCTGTCCTGCTTTTTGATAACTCCCAGTGTAGGGTTCGAAAGAGGCCTAACAAATACTGTCGCTAAATTGCATAGTTATAAAAGACCACACCAAACTGACTGTAAATGCTGACTTTCCGTGGGTTTGAAGTACCCACACTCACCGTGCATATTTTATGTTGATAGTAGTAAATCAAAGTGGTCCATCATACGAAGCGAAATTAAACCAAGGATTGCAGTCGTTGTAACCCAAGACAACTGACCTTAAGGCTAAAGAAGCCGCTTCATTAACGACTGATCAGTTAGTGGCTTAAGCCCTACCGGACCCGCCGCTGACAGCTCAGTATATGAGGCAGCGATAAGGTGTGAAAACTGAGCCAAACTGAACATACACATTCGGCATTGTGACTAAGCACATGAATCAGACTTTTGATACAGCAAAAAGATCACATCTCCCAACGAGTTAGGCGGTGTGATGATGAGTAGGATCCTGTAACAAGTTCAGCTCCCGCGGACATACAACCCTAAAATAACCTGCCTTTCCGAACACCACGGACTTCAGCAGCTGCATGCTACTTGGGGCTGGTTTAGACCATGCCAAAAACCAAGGAGACCAGCAACCTGAAACTGGGAGTTCGACCCTTGTTATATTTTAGCTCAGAAAATGCCTATCAGAAATCATGGAACTGTCGATACTGTCGGGTGGTTGTGGTCAGGTTTATAGAGCCACCATTTACCTCACTCTCGTAATAACGATAATCTTTAAGGTAGGACAGCCTTCCATCGGAGGAGGAGGAGAGGGCGTCCCTAATGGGCCACTAACGAATACAAGAAGAACAGCCACTGGAAGAGGCAGAATATACACATTTCCAGTGGCCGTCATTCTTCAGGCGGTTACATGGTCAACAATACACATAAACAACTACAATCTCACTGTTCAGCAAGTGACAGGTCTAAAGGAATGGTTTAACCGCACAAACTATTTTCCTTGGAGAGGTATTGAAAAACGAATCAGTTTGATAAAACTCATTGTTATTCCTAGACAATGAGATGACCACTCGCTTGTACATGTGGTTTGTGCATTCGATTAAAACAAAATCACGCACAACCACGCCGCGAGAAGGAAGGGAAACGAAGAATCTAATAAACCAGTTGTCCAGTTGGGAAAGACGAATGAAAGTGAAGGTACATCGTTCGAGAAATAGAAAAATTGGCGGCTTTTTTGTCCGCGAGCAGTTATTGACCGAATTCATTCTTTTAAATGGGAAAATAATGTGATCGCCAATCTCAGCTCGGCGAACAACACTGTTTGTTTCACCTTCGACGGAATTAATCATTGTAAGCGAACAGAATGTGAAGCCTCTTTGTGCGATTTCTGACTAAGACGAGGCTTAGAGCAGATCGTCGAACGGGAGGTGATAGAAGTCCTTCCCAGTTTGATTTGTGACCAAAGGCGTCTGTGTTTTTGCAAATTGAACTGAAATGCAGTAGAAAGAAACATGCGTTTATAGGTGAAAAGGACGAAGATTTGTTCCAAAGAGTACTGTATAGAAAATTATGAGAACTTGGATTCAGCATAAGGGCCATTCCATCCTTGTCCACAAGCAGGAGAAAACTTCTTTCAGGTTTTGTCTCAAGCCATCAGTAGTACATTGTGACGAAATTATGTGAGACAATCATGGGTTTTATTGATTTGGGCGTTCTTAGGCGAAGATTACAGCTTCTGCAATATCACAGGTTCGATTAAGAATGGTTAGAGGATTTCACTGGTTCTGATGCCCACAAGGCTTTGTACATTATATTATATTACATTATATTGCATCAATGTAATTATATTTTTTCCATTTGCCTATCCATGGGTCGCCATACTAGCTTATGCGAATACGATCCGTGAACATTTCTCTACACAAAAGAGGCCATGAGTCCAATGAATTTTCGTCTGAAGGCAGTTATTTGTTTGGGCACGAATCGGTCGAGTACCGCGTGTGAAAAAAGTGGCACGTCACTTCAAACGTGCTTAGCTGAACGACTGTGGATGATTCAAAGGCAAGAGGCGACGCAGAGTCGATAGTGGTAAGCAACAGGTTACAAGAAAATCACATAGTCAGCCAATAAATATTCGAATGTGGCTCGAAGTCTGGCGACCAATATCGGAGCACTGCACAGGGTACAACCGAAGGTCATCTTAGGCCAGAATAATCCAGTCGGCAGGGATAATTCGTTTTAATCAGTAGTGCCGGTAAGTAAACGGAGTACTGTAAACAAACAAAAGCCAGCCCTCGAAACGAACCAAAGACCCGGACAGTACCTGGAACAATTGAAGTCGAACAACTTCGCACAATCACTGCAAAGTTTTAAAGTGTCCAGCAAGATTGTTTGTATATAAAGGAGAATGTTGGTAGTTCAAGCAGCTTAAATCGTCTCTGGTTTGTTTAATGAGGTGGGCAGTTTGATTGCATAAGTCTCATCACCAATCGAGGTAGCATTATCAGTGCCTTGTTAGGGAGCGTAGATGTGGATCGTTATTTCTGGATTGAGTAGTGTTGCATGACCTAACATGATTATTTGTTCAGTCGGGCGGTTCCATTGGTCCCTTTGTTGTCCTGCGTTCTGATTGATCGATGACCACGTGACCTCTGAGCTTGGCTCTCCCTCCCCCCATTCCCTCGTACTCTGGTTGATACTGGAGCGACCTCTGTCCTTGACTCCTCTGAGTTCCGGCTTGTGACCTTTGTCGATCCGACTCCAAGTAGTTCCTAGTTCCGTGGTTTGTAAAGGCGCTATTCGGCTCTGCTTGAGTATTCCAGTTGAGATGTTTGTCCTGTGCATGTAGCGGTGCGTAAATCGGATCCGATTCGGTGCACCGGTTGATTAAATCGGTCGTAGAGTACCATGATTCTAGAAATCCCCTTCCGTGTCTCCTGTTTCGGTATGCCAAAATTTTCGCACCATCCAGATTGAGTTTGTAGTCTTCTTGGTCTCCATGAATGGATATCAATGATAGGGGATCATTTCTCCTGATAACCGCGTTGTGTTCCTTCAATCGCATGCATACTTCCAACCAGTTTGTCCAACGTAGAATTTGTTGCAGTTTTTCCTCTTGGCTTTGTCTTGTTTATCTTTCGGTCTTGAGATCAGTTTCCTTCAAGTGGCATTCAATTTGTGGGATGCGAGGATTAATTTCTCGGCTAATAACCTGGTTGTGAGTTCAGATACATTCTTGATTTAGGTTGAACTACCCGTCCAGTCGCCTGCTTCCTCGAGGCTTCTGTTTTTGAGACGCCTCTTCTGCAAGCTTCTCTTGATAAAACCCCTTGAATATCCATTGTTCTAGAATACTTTGAACAAATGGTTTTCTTCCTTTTTTCCTCGTTCTGCGGTCTACAGTGTGTCCCTGTCCTTTTGAACAGGGTTTATGTACGGGATGATTGCTGTTGTAGTTCATTATTTGATCCGTTCCTATCCAGTTCGACTGCAAACTTAATATCTTCAAATGTGGTGTTCTTGAACGTTGTGTACTTAATCACGTTTCTTGATGACAAAGGTGTCGTCTAAGTAGCGAGTCCATAGCTTTGGACTGATGAATGATAGTACCGTGCGCTCTAATCTTTGCATTACACCTAAGTGCTAAGTTCTGATACTGGGGATCTCATTAGAGTATCTTTCAGTTGCTGATATATTTGTCTATCAACATCATCCATAAAAAAGTCCAACAGCTTTCACAGACTTTCGGGTTTCATGGTTTCTGTCGTGTTTGGATTATTCTGAACCAGTTCTGTCATGGATCCCCTGGCGAGATTGTGGTTGACTGAAGTGAACAGTGATGTGACATTAAATGAAAACATGACTTCATCGTCTTCTGTACTGATGTTCCGTAGTTTGCGTAGAAATTGGTCAGCATTGTTGGTTGTGTGTTCCGATCCAGAAATTAAGTGTTCCGGTATTCTCCATAAGTCTTTCACTAATGTGTAAGATGGAGTTCCCGGAAGTAGAACGACTGGTCGATGTGGAGTTCCTTAGTTGTACACCTTAGGTAGTCCGTTAAATTGTGCAGTGTTGGTGTCATCAGCTTTCATTCTCCATCGTTCTGGCTGGTTATGTCGTAGATTGTGTACAGTCCCCTGGGCTTCGTACCGATTCGATTGACAAGGTTTGAACTTGAGTCATGATTGACTGACTTTTAGATCGTCGTGTCATATAATAGCTATTTTGGCCTTTCCGATTAATCTGCCATGTTCATTACCACTGTGGTGCGGCTTTTGTCCGCTGATAGTATTACGATTTTTTTCATCCTTCTGTAGATTTTCGAGTGCGTCTTGTTCTTACTTGGAAGTCAGATACATGTTTCTATTCAGTGTGATCGCCAGTACGATTGTCTCTCGGGTTTGTTGTTGAACCTTCCTGGATATTTCGTGTGATTTCAAGGCTACTTAATCTTTGTGGGATACGCCCTTGTTGTTGAAGTTGAGTCCTTTCATTATAAGTTCTTCAGCTGTGCTGAGTTGGTGGCCAGGTAGGTCTCAGATCCAAACGTCGTAATTTTTGTGTTTGTTGTTTCTTGTAACTTTGCCGAATTCAGTTTCCATGGATGTTCTAAGTTTGACCTTGGCATTTTTTACTCGGCGTCAGATCTCCACTTGAAGTTCTGTCAAGTGGTGTAGACCCGTTTCAGCCAGGCAATTCGTCTTGCTCTCGGTGATCACTCTTTCGTATTTTGTGAG